CTGAGGAGGATGAACTCCTAAGGTTCGCAACAGTGCCTTTAGCCATAGTAGTTCACTAACAGTGGATGCCATTGCTCTATACTCAGCTTCAGCAGAGGATCTTGATACAGTAGTTTGTTTCTTAGTTTTCCAAGAGATTGGGGAGTTGCCGAGCATGGTGATGTAGCCTGTAGTGGATTTCCTTGTCATTGGGCAACTAGCCCAATCAGAGTCACAAAAGGCAGAGAGGTGAAGTGAGCTTGTTGACGACAAGAAAATGCCTTGGCCTGGGGAAGATTTCAAGTAACGTAAGACTCTCATGGCAGCATCCATGTGGGGCTGTTTGGGTTCCTGCATAAATTGACTTAAAATATAAATAGCATAAGATATATCAGGTCAAGGTATAGTCAAATAGATAAGTTTTCCAATGAGTCGACGGTATTGTATAGGATTGGATATGGTGCGACCCTCATCCCTGTTAAGTTTGAGCTTTTGCTCCATTGGAAATTTGCAAGGCTTAGCTCCCACCATTCTTGATTCCGTCAAGATATCAAGAGTGTATTTTCGCTGACAGAGAAAAATTCCAGATGGATGTTGAGCAACTTCAATACCAAGAAAATATTTTAATTTTCCTAGGTCCTTAAGGTGGAAGTGGGCATGTAGAAAATCTTTCAAACTCTAACAGAGGGAGGAGCTTGTACCTGCAATAATTAAATCATCGACATAGACTAGAACTGCAAGAAAATTATTTCCATGATTGTAAGTAAAGAGAGAGTAATCACTTAAAGATTGTTGAAAACCGAAAGATTTTAAAGCAGAAGCAAATTTTGCAAACCAATTTCGAGATGCTTGTTTGAGCCCATATAGGGATTTTCGTAGACGACAAAATCGTTGCTCTCCTTGATGACCATAACCGGGAGGCAATTTCATATAAACTTCTTCATCAAGGTCACCATGTAGAAAGGCATTATGTACATCTAATTGATGTAGTTCCCAGTTGCGGATGGAAGCCACAGCAAGCAAACAGCGAACAGTAACTAATTTAGCAACTGGGGCAAATGTGTCATGATAGTCAATCCCTTCAACTTGAGTGAATCCTTTTGCGACTAGGCAAGCCTTGTATCTCTCAATTTTACCATTAGCATTGTATTTTATTTTGTATACCCACTTACAGCCTATGGGTTTCTTATCAGGAGGTAGCATCTCCAAAGTCCAAGTGTTATTTTTCTCAAGAGCATCTATTTCATCTTTCATTACTTGTCTCCATTTGGGATCTTGCATGGCCTGAGAAAAAGATTGTGGCTCATTTTCGATAGAGATGGCAGCTAGAAAGGAGCGATGAGATGGACTAAATTTTTCATAGGAAACAAAATGAGTGATCGGGTGTCGTGTACCTGGAATTTTTGTTGATTCACTTACTGAAGTTTGAACCCCATTCAAGATGTAATCAGTGAGGTAGGTAGGTTTCTTTTTCTCCCGTTGAGGTCGATGTGTTTCACACTGGGAATTATTTTCAACATGCCTTCGAATGGCTTCTACGCCATGCTCTGGCCCATTCATGTCACATGGGTTCTCGCATGGTGCAGTATGTTCATGAGCTAGGCTGGTGCAAGGGCTTGATTCTTGTTGCTCAATATGGCTGTGCTGTATGTGCAGCTAATAATTTATATAGTAACATAACATTGTAATTTTAAATTTTCGCGTTCTCTATCCTTACTCATTAAAACTTACAAAAGAATAAGGCTTTAAAAAGTCTTCCCACCTCTTACCCAATTTTGATAGATTCCCAGCCCCCCATCCCTCCTTTTGTCCTTTGAGACAGATGAATTTTCCTTTTAAATGCGTTGAATTTTTATTTATAAAACTCCAGAGTTTGGTTATTGGTGTACTGAATTTTGTCAAATTAAGGTTAAAATCTATTCGAGTTATTTTAATTTTGTTACATAAGAGAAGAGAAACCTGTAAATTTTCTCCTTTTTTTGGCAAAATTTATTGAATTTTTCGATTTAAATAGAGAAGTTTCCATGATTAAGCGGAACGCTAAAACATAAAATTTTAAAGCTTAGCTAAATCACCCATAAAATCACTAGATTGGTTAAGGATTTAGAAATGAGTGATACTATAAGAACAACTTTTTTGTTTTATCTTTTTATACAATTTTTACATATTATTAAATGAGTAAATATATTCAATATCATAAGTCTCATATGAATTAAAAAAATCAACGATTTTAATAATATATTAAGTTGTACAAAAAAATAATACAAAAAAATTATACCAAAAGCATTTCCCTTTAAAAATAGTTCATCTACAAAAGACAATTCATGGGTGATCTAGCAAAGCTTTAAAAATTTATATTTGTGGTCCCACTAAATCGCGGAAACCTTTCCATTTAAATCAAAAAATTCAAGAAATTTTGCATGCCATATATAAAGAGGGATTGAAAAAAAAAAGATATTTTGATAATTAAAATGCTAAAACTCTTTATAAAATTATTTAAATATTTTTAATGAGTTAATATATTAAAACAATTTATTAAAATGATTAAAATAATTTCATATAAAATTTTAATATTTTAAATGCTTAGTACATCTATGATGAATAATTCATGGGTGATCTAGAGCTTTAAAGATTGATGTTTAAGCATTAATGTTTGGGGTCTTGTGTTCGGGGTCCCACAAATTTAATGAATTTTTTCACCCATGAATTCTCCTTTGTAGATGGACCGAAGAGAATATGAATTTTTAATGCTTAGCGTCACCATGATTTCCTTTTCGTATGTAGATATAGAAAAGAGAATATAAAATTTTTCACCCATGAATTCTCTTTTGTAGATGGACAAAAGAGAATATGAATTTTTAGTATCCATGAATTCTTGGAAGATGTACAAAAGAAAATATGAATTTTTAATGCTTAGCATCACTTATGAATTCTCTTGCCATCACCAGGGGCGGAGGCAGAAATTTTGTTCGGGGGACAAGATGCTAAAATTTTCAAAGTTCAGGAGGGACTAGATAATTTTTCATATACTAATTATATACTGATTTGCAAGATTTTCAAATTTCAGAGGGGGCGAGCGCCACTCCTCGCACCCCCTGGCTCCACCACTGGCCATCACCATGAATTCTCTTTTTTTTATCTGGATGTACATAAGAGAATGTGAAATTTTTCCACCCATGAATTCTCTTTTATCTACAAAAGAGAATCCATGGGTGATACTAAGCATTAAAAAATTATATTCTCTTTTGTCCAATGAAAGAGAATTCATGGCCGAAACTAAGCATTAAAAATTTTTATTCTCTTTTGTCCATCTAAAAAAAAAAAAACCATGAATGATGGTAAGAATTAAAAAGTAATATTATTTAACTACTGACGTCATTTTACGTTAAAAATTTATTTATCATTTAAATTTATCTTTAATTAAAAGCTAACATATAATAATATCATTAATTAAATAATAAATTATTTATTTTGATCAAGATAATTTATTTTTATTTTTTATTAAAAACAGATCTATCCCTGCCAAATAAGGGGATATTTGAGGGTTCGGCTATCCGGCCATAGACTACCGTCATCATGTGGAGTGGGGTGGGCTGTTCACATCTGATTCGATCTAATTGATCTAATTTAAATTAGTCCAATCCAATAAAAAAATTAAACAAAATCAATATAAAATTAAATTGATTTAAATTATAAAATTTTAAAATCGATATAATTGATTTGGTTTGTAATTTTACTTTTAAACTGTTTGAACCATCCGATTACAAAATAAAATCCGATTACATGATAATTTGATTAAATAATATAGTATATTTTTTGTAATATTTTAAATTTTTTCTTATTTTATAAGATGATAACTCTATTAATTTAATTTAAAAATAAAAATAGAAT